TTATGAGGTCTCTTAGAGATTTTGGAGCATAACAAGAGCACAAAGCAAAGGAAATCAGCCGGGAATTAAGTTTGCTGGAGCTTTTCTGAACTATCAAGTGTTTTTTTCTGTGCATTGGATAGATGCCATGTATGCAGCATATGCAAGAAACATTTGCATAGTAATTTGTGCTAGAAGAAGAAAGGCTCTTCCTGACTAGCTGGAAGCTTCCACTTAGGGAAAAGAAAAAAGGTGAGGTCAAGATAATGAAAACAAAAGAAAACGGGTGCCTGGTAAGAGGACAGTCAACATTTCAAATGCCTCATGGCTCCAAACACCACCACAGGGACATGAAACCCAAATTCCACAAGTCTTACACACTTCCTCCCATCAGCTGCCTGGGAAGGCAAACACACTGCCTACCTTGACTGCACGCAGAGGCAACATCTGCTGTTTTTTACAGACATGAAAAGGAGTGTTTCTGGCGGAAGGAACTCCTGATTCCTTAGGTGCCAAAACCTTGAGTCCAGAATGTACCCAGGAAAGAAAACAGTACGTCCTGGAAGTGTAACATGGATCACCCTCTATCATGAACTTCAGTTGTTCAGACTTCTTTACAAGGATGACAGAGTTGTCCTGATCCCAAGAAATGGTTCTTTAAGAGACATAAAAGACAGTAGACAACAACAGCTCAGATACTGCTGTATTCATAAAGCCTACACAGCAGGGGGACGGCAAGCTGCAATCTTCTCTTGATTCCAAAAGCCCTTCCAGTCCTGCACTTCAGAAGGCCCTCTGTTCTCAGATCTTCTCACTGCTTGAGTCCCCTTTCAGGCAGGTGTGTAATTCCCAGCCATTCGTGCTGTGTACAGGACCCATCACAACGGGGAAGGTCTTCCCTATGTGGGAACTCAGACAATGGGAGTAGATGTAGCACTTTAAGGCTTTGATTATGGAAAACGACAACAAACGTCCTCAGACGCGGTCGTGCAAGCTGGAAAGGCAGCGTTCAAATTCCTCCCACCTTCAATACTCACAAGGAAAAAGCGGACAAGGTGAACAGGAATTAGGGTAATGTTTCTGACAGGCTGGGAGGGTTCGGTGCCAAACAGCTCAAACTTTTTTTGCTTGATCATGCCTGCCTTTACTCTAGAACTAAATGGCTGCTAATACTACAAAAATCCTTATAACAGGTTCCAGTGGGGTGGGATTCGTAGTCCTGGTTTATTGACCACACTGATCCTGAAAGCAGTATTTCTGTTACGAGTTTCCCCTAATGCCCAATGAACCATCTTTCGCTGGAACACGTGGCTCCTGCTTCGTCTTTCCTCAGAAGATGAGATGCACCTTTGAAGGCCCTCTACTTCCTTTCCTCAAAGAATATAAATTCTAGGACATTATAATGCACTTCGAATGGGACTAGTTTGGAAATTGAAGGAAGGAAAAAAGTTCATCTTATTGTGGTTACCAATGGGTACATATTTTTTTCAGCAGCTTAGCACCAGGGCAGGATGAGTATAAAACTTACTGAAGAAATAATGTCAACAGGTATCAACAGCTGTGAAGCTTTTCACTGAAGCATAAACCCTTATTCTAACACATTTTGCTGGCTGGAGATTTTTTATTTCGATTTTTTTTTTTAAGAAAATGGCACATCCTGTGGCCAGGCAGCATATTCAAGTAGTGTTTTGCCCTATATGAAACTCAGAGAGAAGCATAGGAGAGGCTCCAATGTCATCTTGAATGCAGGTATCTGAATTTAATCTAAATTCAAAAGTGCCTGATAAGCTCAGCCCTATTAGCAGATGGCAGTCTGTGGATACTTTGCAGAGAATCACACATAGCATTGTTCTACCATTTTGAGGACAGTCTCTTCTATGCTAGCCAAAACCAGGACTCACATTGAAAAATCTCAAAATAACTTCTTTGTGTAGTTATGTAAGGCTTTTTTTTTAAAAAAAAAAAAAAGATCTTTCAACTTAGGTTTCGAGTGGAAACAGTACAATGGTGTTTCCAGCAGTGTGCAGCTCTCCCTAAGAGACACTGGAAGGTATTTTGTCAAATTAGTTCCTCAACATCACTAAGTCTAGGAAAAAAGCAGAGATCAGTAGTTGGGCCTGTACCCTTCTATCCTAGAGCAGGTTGGAATAGCATTTCTGCAGATAATAGCCTCAATCAGGCAGTCCATACTCCAAAGAAAAGTCTTCCTAAAACTCGAGACAAGTCTTCAATTACACAATCACATACTATTCTGGCTTTAAGATCCCCAGAACAGACTGGATGGTGTGTCCTGAATGAGGAAGAATGAAGCAGTTTTAAGCAATTTTCTAAAACAGGAGTGGAAAAGAATGCTAGTTCTCTGTTGAGTTTTTAAAATGAGGTTAACTTTCTCTGTATACAACAGAACACAAAAACACTTAAAATATCTGTTAAATACTACATAATGCTTTTTTTGAAACTCTCCCTGTCCCCTCCAGCTTCAATCAGGATACGAAGTAAAGTCAGTGGAAGTCGTTTTGCAGACATCAATGGGCTCTGAATTAGGACCTCACTGCTTGTAACCCAGCTGGTGTGCTAAATGAATGCAGAAAGGATTTTTAGTGGCTTCTTTTACCTAAAGATCTCTTGAGCTCTGCATTGAGAGACAAGAGGGCTTTCTTTTTCCTGTTTTTGGAGGACATTTTGGAGGACAGCAGAGGACAGTGTAGCTACTGCGGCACTGAGGGCTGCATTTTGCAGGTGGAATTTTCAAAAAGCAGAAACTTCTGGCATGCAAATCTGTTACTCTTCAGAGAAAAAATCTCCAAAACAGAAAAACACTTAGGGAAAGCTATTCCAGTAACAACCTTGACTGGGAATGTATAAACCATAGCAAGTGTGGACACTGTTTGAAGAAACTGGGCAAGGGGACAGAACCAGTTTCAGAGAAAAACTGACACCCAGTTTTACAGACTGCACTTGTTTGAGAAAATGCATCTTAACCTTAGTACTTGCAAACAGGCACTCTCAACAGATACACTCCAGCTTGGCGTAAATGAAGTGATAAGGGATAGGAACACTGCTGTCAACCTATCACTCATCGCCCCCTGCTCTGGGATCACACGATTAACACAGACCTGATGCAGGAGGGAACGTTCAGTGGACAGCCGTACAGCCCCGTAACTCCTGCTCTATTTAAGGAGGTTAAAACAGAGCTCAGTGCAGCACAATGGCTAGTGCCACGCTGGGGGAAGACAGCAGGAGCTGCAGACCATCAGCTTTTTGTAAGCTTGTGCTGTTTTTCATAAAGCACACGATGGCATGCCTTTATATGATCAGACTAAGCAACACTGCTCTCTCTACAAGGCAGAGAGAGACTACATTAAACACACACCCATACATCAATTGCTGAACTTTCTTTCATAGTTCAGTATGTGTTTATTCATGCCCTTACCAAAGTCCAAATTTGTATCTTCAACTGCACAGACAAGGATTAAATCTCAAAGGATGCTTCACTAAATTCCTTGAAATAGCAGTCACCGCTGTCTGACTGATCATGACTCATAGTTGATGTGTCCGGAGGGAAGCCAGAGAGAAACAGAAAAGGAGAAGCCTGGAAACACATAGTCCTCAATACTAAATACAGGTTCATGCAGGAATCTATCTACAGTGACCGACTGACCCACATTTACAGCTCCTGGATCTTCGCTGTCCCGTATCAGTAGAGTTTACTTCCATAACCCAGCCTACTGGCAGTGATGACTGGACAACCACAACTTCGCAGCCTATAAACTCTCCAACAACACTTCTTACGTAGGGGAAGAGAGAACCCAGACAATACGAGAGAAAAGGATGTAGGAATAATGGATGAAAAGATGAATGGATGAAGGGAAGAGGGCTCTACACATCTGGCGAACACACTGGTGCTTCAGCGTGAGCACTGCCTTTGACATGACAAAAGACGAGGTGAAGTCATATTCACAGATCATGGTGATATAAAGGAGCCCTTCGAGCTCCTCATCACAATCCACAAGACACCGAGCCTGAAGGAACTGTTCAGCTCTTTCAGATAAAACGCAGCTTACTCAACTAATCAGAGAGTTTTTCCCCAAACACAGTGAGAAAGGCTTAATCGGGAACATAATGTCATGTGTGAAGGACGGTTTGTTAAAAATATACTGCATGTACTGAAGAACTCTATTTTTTTCATACGATGTGACATATTACAGGCACTGAACCAAAACGCCACGGAAGCGTGTAGTTTATGCTATCTCACTGGACTACCAAACAACGTTTAGCATTGAGAAAGTACTGTAGATATGTATCAAAAGATGTATAAATGTTACTTTACACTGTTACCACAATGACTGCTTTTCTTCTGTGTTACCACAGCTGTTAAAAAGCCCTAATAGAAAACTAATAATGCAAGTCATTATGAAACATCTTAACCTCATTTCGAAAATATGTACAAGCTTTTTTGTTACTCCTGCTTCTCTGTCTCCTAATCAAGATCTCCATATTGAGCCCAGTTTTGCTTTTTCTTAGCAGCATAAATTAGAAGCAACTCTATTCAAGTCAATAAAATTACTCCAACATGAAAAAGGAATCAGCCATCTGCAAAAAGCTGAGTCTAACAGGTAATTTTCCACTGACAGCTCTTACCATAAAACAGGTTACAGAGATTACTCTTTTATCTCACATTGAAAGTAAACAATTAATGCAAAATGTACAGTGTCTATAAAGACAGCATGTTCTCTTCTTGTTCCCTTTATACGTAATTATTTTCATGTTAGTAAGCAGACATTTAAGTGAGACCACCATCAGTGGTAGATGGAGCCTACTCATCATGCAAAACAGGCAACTGAACTGTTTGTTTGTGCATTATTTTACCTTTTGTTCCCAACCTGGGAAGCATGTGGAATCTACGAGGCATTTTCACGCATCATTTCTTGCTGCAGAATGTCAAGTCACCTTTTATCCCCTCAGGCAAACTTCTCCTACCTGATCTCAAGAGCTGCCCACACCGAAATTATTTTTCATACCTTGTGTAAGCAGCTGGAGGTTTCGGACTTCTTCTCTCACCTTCAGCTGAAGGACTTGCTGCAGAATGTGCTGTCGCAGGCTTTCCTGGGCAATGCCCATTCGTTCAAGCTTTTTGTCAGTAAGTCTCAGCAAAGCACGACCTGGATGCAAAAGTCAGAAAGAAAAATCACACAAGGATTTCCATTAATGTAATATTCTCGCTCTGATGGGCTAGTTTCCTACAGCAAAAACTCCCAGCCCTGAAATACTTCTGTCTGAGATGATTGTCTCCTCAGTTAGGTACTGTTTTACTGTCAAGAGATCTGTGTTCCACTCTTCCCCTTTCTCTTGACTTTATATATTGTTTTGATACTTTGTGAGCCATTTGGACATGGAAAATTGGTATCTGGTGCCATTTTAGATGACCAACTGCTGTAGCTGAGTGCCAGCTGGCCTCCTCCAGAAGTCTACAATTGGTCCAGGTGTCTAAACAGGCCCTCACCTATTATCAAGCATGTAAATTACTGTCAAGAAACCACCAGTGAAAGTGAAATTTGACCAATTTAATCAATTTTTAGATACGCTGAGGATGACTGTTGTTGCAATTCAGACGTGTTTATAGTGTAATAGCAACACCTCTCAGGAGAGCCCTATACTTGGAGATCCAGCCTTCCAAATCCCTCTAAGCAGTAACCTATCACAGCAGAACAGAAGAAAGAGCCAGAGACTTCCCTTATATGTCCCCATATGTCATCTGTATCTAAATCATTCCTGAAAGAGCTGTTTGCCCAGCTATAGAGATTGCCCTATTACAGTCTTTGCAGGCTTTGAACTCTGTTCATGACTTAGCTTCTCCATTAGGGTAATGTTGCACCACGGTCCCATGCAGATTGTAGATGTTAAAAACAATCCCCACTCCCCACATTCTGCTCGTGGAACTCTGACTCCATCTTTTGGGCATCTTCATGCCATGAGCAAACAGGAGGAAGGCTGCACACTGGCAGAGCCAACACTGGAGAAGTATTTGGGCCAAGCAGAGAACCAAAGCATCACACAGAGCTTTATATTAGGCAAAAACAAACAAACAAACCTTATTCTCTTTCATTTTAGATGTAGAGCTTAGGGATATGGTTTAGTGGGGACTGTTAGTGTTAGGTTAGAGGTTGGACTCGATGATCTTGAGGTCTCTTCCAACCTAGAAATTCTGTGATTCTGTGATTCTGTGATTTTCACCAGTTTTGTGAGCTAATAGAGGGAAGAGAGTCCTGTGGCCCTCCACTGCCCCTTATTTCCCAATGTCTTTGTTCATCTATCCACAGGTTCCCTGGCCGATGCTGGCAAAGCACACTGGAGCTACACCAATACCACCTTGGAAAATGGCACGACGCTTGGTTCAACTTTTTAAACCAAACTTTTTACTTCCTCTAGTTCTAACAACAACCACTTTTAATTATTAAAAATCCCTTCTTTGATTTCTGAGGCTTTATTCTGAAAGCAGAAGAGGATGGTGAAGAACAAGTTACTCTCTCCCCAACACAGCAGCCTCTGTGCTGCCATTAGTGGGGCTTTTGGATGAATGGTGCAATTTAGCTCATCATAAAGCATTACTCAACACAGCAAGATAAGGACCTTATTCAATCTCTTTCTTTACAAAACAGCAATATGGGTACAGGATTTTTATGATTATTTTAATTAAAGAATTTGAGATAAATTAACCACCAATTAATTAAGGGGACACACAAAATTTGCCCCAAACCCAGTAGTTAGCAACCTCCCCTTCACTAACTGCTACATTTCACCCATAAAAAGTTCTGTGAAGTGGTTGCTGGGATCTTGATATGATGTAAATGTAATGTAAAGTGCTGGGATATTATTATTAACAACGCAAGATCTCATTGATCAAATGAAAAATGACAGGGTTCATTCATTTCCTGCCCTTCCATGTCTCTCAAGCATGCAATACCATGGAGGATGACCTTTTGATTAGGAAAACTTTCTTTGAAATCATAAACAAGAAGAATTCTACGGGTTAATGTAATAACAAACTATGGAAATTAGTTCCTTGCGGATCAATGCCAGCTGTCCAATTCCCTTGGTGATAGAGATAGTAATAATGACTTCAATTTTTATGTCGCCTTATCACACTAAAACATCTTAAAGCAATTTACAAAGGATGTACAGCAGCCTAACAGTATGGTCTGTAACGTCAATCTAGCAACTGAAAGCAAACAAAAAAATAAACAAACCATGAGTTTAAAGAGTGCCAACATCCATGTCATCTTAGGGCAGGGAGTCAGCAATAGTAATATGAAAGGACAGACACAGGCCATGTATCTCATCCAGTGTCCTCCACCTCTTTTTGGCCGTGGATATAGCCACAACTCTTTACTTCCTCGGGGGCACCTCTTTATTTCATATTCAAGTCAGTTTTCTACCCCAGTCACTGCCTTTGGAAGTTGAGTGTGCACAACACAGAGACATCTCTTTTCAACTCCAGGCATGCCAGTTCCTCTGCGGCTTTGGCTCAAAGCACAATGCCATCGGAAAAAAATGTCTTTGACTCATACTATTTGCAGCAGCTTTTACAAGCTGCCTTAAATTAACCCTTGCCTGCACCAAATCCAACTGTGACCTGTTGAGGCAGCGATGAGGCAAGAAGGTAAACATCCAAAGGCAGAAGGTGGCATTTCCAGAATGCAGAAAGTGACCTAAACTAAGACGATCCAACCCTCCCCATACTATCTTTCTTCCCTCTCAACACTCAAATCAACAAAATCCAAGTCAGAACTGGAATAATTTATTACACTGGTACCAAGTCATGACTTCAAAAAGATAGAGCTAATGACTGGCGTCACCAAAGCCAGTTAGTTACTAAGACCAAGGTCCTAATAATCAGCTAATGATTTCAAAAGCTTCACTGTACTGCTTCCTGTACTGTACATATCTGAAAAGTGCTATGGACTATCTAAGGGTTGTTGAACACTGAGCTTAGATGTCCAGAGAGGTTGTGGAGTCTGTTTGGAAATACTAAAGACCTGACTCACAAGGTCCTGAGCAACTGGCTTTAGTTGGTACTGCTTTGAGCACGGGGACGTGACTAGATGAATGCCAGAGGTGCCCTCCAACCTCTGCTATTCTGTGCTGCTGTGTCTCAACCTTCATGAAGGATCTCAAGATTAAGATCTATTTTCACTGAAAAAGAGAAGAGTAATGAAGAAAATTAATAAGCATACACAAAAGATGGTCATTTTGGCAAGCATTGGGGATAAAAGAGACAGCTATGCAGAAACCATTGGGGCTAGAGTTTTAATTCTCAGAGCATGTTCGACAGAATAAATTATCAAGAGCAGAACACATAACAAGCATTAAGGTTTTCAAAGAAGAGCCTACACTGATCTCTGCTAGGACGCAAGTATCTCAGCAGAGTATTCCTTATATCTCAGGAAAAGTTCCCAAAACTAAAGAATGGCTGCTACCTCTTTCAAGGCTATTTTATATATATGTAGAAGTAGCAGCTACATGCGTAAAAGACACTAGGAGATTTTTTTTTCAAAAGTCTCTTGGCCAACAGAACAATAAAGATTGTAGTCACAAACACGTAGGCCTTGGCTCAAGTTATCTGCACGGCAGGGAACCAAATGCTTTTTTTAAAAAAAAGCAACTCTCAGTATCTCTATGCATCTTTTAGCACCTAAAACCCAGCCCTCGCACAGTCAGGAAGGAACAGCCATGGAGCGTTCTGAGACACCCCGAGGGCAGACACAGAATATAAAATACTTTCCAGCTTAATAATGGATTGATGGCCTAATTTCTTCTAATATGACTTAGCTGTTGCAGATCTCATCTGATCAAGCTGGGATTAGATGAAAATTTAAGTGGAGGGAGAAACATTGCATGCCACAGAACATTAATATGAGTATAAGCATTGGTCCAATGAGGTTGGCATTGGCCCTAGAGCAAGGAATGTGGCGCGGTCGGCTGTACCAAATCACAAATGCTCATACCTCCCCGCACGGGTACAGCCTACTGCTCCTCTTCTTTTCCCTGAGCCTGTGAAGCTGACTGTTCACAGACATCTAGAGGGAGACCATGCTGGAAGGCCTGAAAGTATACTTGTACAGGAGGTGGATGCTTAAGGAAGAAAGGGTTTATTAAGTGTAGAAAGAACTGAAGAAATGCAGGAAAGCAAGAGCAAATAGTAGGAGGTTGATCTCATGCAAAACCTTGAAGGGAACTATGGCTAATTTAAAGTTGATAAGATAATGAGCCAAGGGTGGGAACAAACAGTGTGTGTGAAACACAGCCAAGAAAGGTGATCTTGTCTTCTGAGTACAACCTGATAGGCATACATGAATATCAAGACAAAATACTCAGTTTACTGACCGTGGAGCGTAGAATCTAACTGAGAAAGAAAGAACAGGACAGAGAATGCAAGGACATTAAAAATGCCTTACTGCCAGACCAGCAGTTCATCCAGCTTTATATTCAGAGATGTATTTAGGGAGAGCTACCGAAAGGGTTACTATCTGAAGTCATTCCCCTTGAACTGTGCCAGCTACACTAGGGATACTAGAGAGTACATCATTTTTAGCACCTACATATTGTCCTGATGTCCATAAATTTGTCTTCTTAATCCTGCTGATACTGTCTGCCTCTGCGGCCTCTTGGGATAGCAAATTCCAGAAGCTCACTGCCCGTTTTTGCCTGTTTTATATTGATTTCTTACTGACTGCTTCAAGTGTTCCCTAGCTCTTGCATTGCAGTATTTGGTGAACAATTCCACAATCAGCTTATCTGTTGCTTTCATGATTTGTAAACCTCCATCATTTGATCATATTTCTGGATGACAAACTTAGAAAAACAGGAACACAGAATTCATTAAACCCCTAAATTATCCAAGCTGAAAACCTGAAAAAAATATTTCCATGCTAGAACGACTATTTTAAATTGTTGTTGAAATGATTGCATATTCTTACTTAATTGATAATAATGTGCCTCTCTGGTTTTTGTACAGAACAATTTCAGACATATTGCTTTTGTATTTATCTCTTTAGTTCCATTAACATATTCATAATTCTAGTTCACTGCTTTTTTCTACTTGAAATAGTCAGATCACAGCTTTCCTCTTGTTTATACAGGCTGATGTTTGTTTCTCTTCACT